TACAAGCGAAAATGAGTGAACAAGATGATCTAATTCCTCGTATAGACCTAGAAAAATATAACTTAACCAAATGCCGAACTCTAGACATGTACACATAATATAAATATAGAAACTTCAATAATTTATAACTCTGTCATACTGATTTTTAAAAATAAACAAGAGATCTAGCTGCACCAATATCTATAGAGTTGCATCCAAACAAAGTACACTATTACTTCACATAATCCATAGAAGGGCTGAAGAAGTTGTAGACGTTCTTTTTGTCACAAATTCAGAAAAAAATTCAAGAAAACCATTAGTTGTAGACTAACAATCAATCACACTTTATTCTCTACACTTTTAGTCAGGAACCTCATTGTAAGTATTCCGTAAACTATTTTAAATTTTCGAATTTCGAAATATGTGTACTTATCTATGGAAAATGATTGAATTATGGTTAATGCCATATGAAAATTCTCTTGATTTTGTAGAAAACGAAAACAAGTTTTCGACAAAACAAAATCGACAAGATTTAAAATACATTGTCATTCTAAGACACTAAGATATATCATTTTGAGATCATAACGATAATCCAACAATGTGTCAATGCTATAATTGAGAAAAATATTAGACTCAGTGAATACAAAATAATATGCGATCTAAAAAGTTATTATTTTAGTTTTCATGTACTTTATTTGTTCTTTATCTCAGTTTATTTTTTATCTCAGTTTATTTTTTATCTCAGCTTCATTTTTCCCGATGATTGTTTTCATTAGCAAACATTTGTGCAAAAGTGCAGTATGAAAGTAATGTGCCTTGCTAAACATGTTTCCTATTGAAAATACTTTTGAATGTCTTCATCTTCTTTATGTTGTTTAACAATATAAGCTTCAATGAATTTGCATTTTATTGACTTCAGCTGTGACTAGATGTTTTTTACAGTCGCCTTATCTCTGAATAGTGACTTGATATTGAATTGCACCTGTTCGCGGGCTAAATACTAAGTGTCTGAGACTCTATATGCCAGTCGAATACGTACCTAGATTATAGAAAGGGAAAAACGACAACATCAAGTCACGGTGTAGAAAATGTTTACCAGTGTACCTCATAGAGCGGCACTTACAATGTGTCTTTCAAAAGAGATAAAGTAATATTTAAATATAATTAACCATTCTTCAGTCAATTATCACAACAAATATCTGACTGGTCTCATAGTTGATTTCATCAATGGCTGATAAAACTTATAAGATGTATCAAAGATAGGAGTAAATTCGTATGTTTTGTGACGATCTTTTTGAAAAATATTATTAAAGGATGACTGACAGGTATTAACATAAAAAACAATCAAAAAAAGCAGGATACATAAGTTGTCCATCTGAGTGAAAAAGATAAATATACCAGAAAAGCTTTCTCTTATCTAAAAGCTCCCATGTAAACATATATATACACAGGTTTGCTAAAGAAAGCATGAGTTTCTTGTAGTTATTACACAAGTCCTTTCAGCAGACATGATTCTAGTTTAATGCGAGAAAAATATTCTGACTGATATAATCTTGACAGCTTTTTCTTTAAGACGTGTTACAGTAAAAAGTACAAATAAAACTGACTTGCTTTGTGAGACAATCAACACGGTTCGACAATTAAAGAATGATCTAAATTAATGGAAATCGATTGATAGGCCTTTGTACCTATTTGTAGTAAATGATTATACGATAAATCTATTTTTATTTCGTCAGAAGAAAAGTAACAACACGAACAAAAACAAAAAAAAAATACAAAAACAAAACAGCTATTACTCACGCAACCAAATTTCCAACCGGGTTAGTTTTGATTACTAGACATACTTCATGAAAGTGTTTGACAAATATTTGCTTTTCTTTTGTGAATAAACAACTCAGATCAACAACGCAGATACATTGTAACTCCATTGTTCTTGTCATTTTTTGTTTAACAGAGTGGAAAAGAAAACACAAACGAATAAAGAACAAAGAAACAAACAAGTGATCGTTTCAATGAAGGATAAATGTACAACAAAAATGAGTGTATGAAATAGTAAACATTCTGTTTTATCCTTAATTTTGTTCGTATTTATTCCTGTTCAGGTTCCTAAAATAGATGTTATAGTTTGAGACACGTTTATCCCGGACATAAATAAAATACATACCGCATCTTCATTATCTAAATCTCCTTCTTCTTCATTCTCTCCAACACTATTTTCATCCTCATCGGTTGTAGCCGCTAAGTAATATTGTAATGGATTTACAAATATATCATCTTTAATAATTTCACCAAATTCATCCGCTCCTGGATTATTTGTATTAGAAAACCATGAAAAAAATGAGCTATTGTCATTATCATGTGAACGTTTTCGACCTTCTTTATTTGAACCATTTTTTGCTTCCTAAAACGAACAGAAAATTTTTTATTATGGTTAACATTCGTCGATCAGTCTTCGTAATAAATCCAACATATTTTATAGATGAACCAAAAAATTGAATTAATATTGACTATAGATACGGTGAAATTTCTCTATGTGTGTTTGTCTAGAAAAAACAGTTTAAAATATGAAATTTTCGTAATATACTAATAATTTTAATAAAAGAAGAATTTGTTCGAGAAAAGTGAAAGCATCTTGATTTACATTAAAAAAATAATCAAATAAGAAGCAAGATATGAACCTAATAATCCGATCAAGGATATCAAAAGATAAGAAATACTGGAATATGGTTCTAATTAAGAATAACATTTAGAATGAGATTTTTTACAAGAATATTAAAGACGAACAATAAAATATCAAATCACAAAGATTACTCTAGTCAACTACTGTAGAGCAAAAAAAAGAGAATGTACTGTTTGAAGAGAAAAATCGTTAAAGGAAGTAATGCGTTGTATATGTGAACTGATGACAACTATAGTGAGATCTTGAACAGATAAAAAGACTGAGATGACAGTAGATTTTAAAGAATTGTACTAGTCTGAAATATTTGTGATAAAAAGAAAGATTTGAAAGATGACGATTAGCATACGTGTCTGAAAATGCAAGGCTCATTCAACATTTTCGGGTGCACTCTTCTCAGAACTAATCATCGATTATTCTCATTCACAATCTCTAATCGACGATAGAATGTTTTTTATCACTTTTCACTGCTAGTCTTATACTATAGATGAACATATTCAATTATTATTTTGAGAGCTTCAGATATTTACCATCTACATATTCATCGCTTTTCTCATTCCTCTGAATAGAAGTCAATTTAATACCTATACATTCGACTAAAACCAATCGTAGAAAACTAAGGTAAACTTTTACTCATTGAAAACTCTTTTTCTTTCCACTGCAAGACAAAAACGTAGTCGACATACATTTTTCCATCGTATCGCCGTTGTTTTACACGTTGTTTCACTTGCTTCATTAATATTAAATTCTTTAACCAATACATCATTATCGAAATAATTATTTTGATCAAAAGTCTAAATTTATTAAAAGATCTCAGAACTCATGCGACAAATAAATAATAACTTTCTTATACTTACAAATTTAATTCTGTAGCCAGATTTGATATCTTCATGTTCTTCGACATCAACACGTTTCAAATGTTGCAATATTGCTTCATCATCTTGATCAAGATATGTCGATAATTGTGGATGATTGAGAAATACGCTTATCCAAAACGAGGGTATTTTACTAATTAAATCAGAACCTATATAGAAATATGTCTTACGTAGTAAAAAAACCTTAGTTAATATTCACACCCTTACGTTTTTTATAATTTGGTTGACGTAATTTGTTAAATTTTTGTTCTACTTGTAATATTTCTTCACTTGCTTGTTCATTTAATTGATCAATTTCGTTCTGCACTTGACCAATAGATTCAAAGGCTTTTTGCATTTCCGCTTCTAAAGAAAAATTGCAAAATAATATAATTCAAAAAATTAACTTCAACTACTATAAAAAAAAATCTTGAAAACCTTACCATCTATTTTGATTTGCTTTGTTGCAGACATTTCGCTTGAGAAAAATATTAGTGTACGCGTTGAATAATAATTATTATTAATAATATCTTATGTCAAAAGAAGAAAGTAGTCTAGAAAGAATATTACTGGAATGAAGTAAAGGAGACAGAGCTGTGAATGAGTCGGGAGAACAATGAACATGCTTTCTTTAAAAAAATCTATTCGTTGAGCCGTTCTAGCCAATCATCTTTAACACACTGTTGAAAACGTAGAACGTTCTTTGACCTTAAGCTCTTTTGTCATTTAAAAATCATTTCTTTTACTATCTAAAAAATTAAAACATATATAAAACTTTTCTGCGCGATGGATGGAGTCTTTTTTAGTTAATAAAGAAAATGGTTACAGAATTGGACAGGATAAGCTACTGAGGAAGTGTACTCAGAAATTTTTCAGTAAGATAACCTTTGGTGCATGCATCAGGTTGAATTCGACTAATCAATGACAACTATATATTTTTCGTATTCTGGGTTCATATTTTTCTGATACAAGAATCAACTCTGTGTTTATTACCGGACACAGAATCTGGAATGCACATATCACAGAATGCAAGAGTCAGAACAGATGATATCCAAGAGGGACATATATATTCTTTTTCGTTCCTTTCTGAAATTTAGTAATCACATGGAGTGTACGACATCTTGTCGCTCAAAACGAAGAAATGGTGAGAGACTCAAGAGCAATACAATGGTGATTTTTCCTCAGTAAATATCGCCTGACCTACGAAATTTTGGCTAGTAAAGGGTCGGTGATATGACTACCTAGTTGCATTACCAACGAAATCACAGTATAAGTGTGGTGTGAAAAGGTCCACTTATCCACTACTACACTTTTAGTGTGAGATCATCATCGTATTAGAGATTCATTTTGGTATGATACTTTTGCTGTGACTTTTTTTAGAGGGTGCTGCTTTGTATTCTTTCATGTTACCTTTTATTTGTTTAATAGATCTCTCCCGATCTAAACAGACGAAACTTGCACTCTTCCAGTCTTGAAGTAGAGTTAGGTAGTGTAGTAACGTAGTTTATAATTACATATCTCTTGCCGTTCTCATCGATGTTTCGAAATTGAGGCGCGTTACAGCTAAGTGAAGTTAATAGTCAGTAACTGATAGTCATAAACCTATTATTTGTCTAGTAATTTCCCGCTGAAGGATTGTACAAGATTTATTTAGTACAATTTTTGAGACCATGTTTTGGCATTTAAAACGGAAGCGTTTTAATACTTAAAAGTAACAGTTTTTAACGGTTTGAGAACAGGCATTTAATAGTGATCATTTATGAACATTTTTACGTATATTGACCATAGATCGATTGTATTTAATATTACTTGAGTACGCTAATTTTCAGACTTTTTAATATTTTAAGTTTCATAGGTTCATGGTGCTGTCACTGACATCAGATTTAGAAAGAACCAGCTACCTCTGTCGAAATAAATTGCAATGACTTATAAAGTCTAGAGAGAGAGGAAAACTTCTAAGGTTTTATGGAAAAATAGTGTAATATCAAGGCAGCAAAATCTAAGAGTCAGTGACTTAAAGACATCTGTCACGTGAGTCAAGCAGCGTAAACTGTCTGTTTTTCTTCTTTTTTTGTCTAATGGTCAAAAAACGGACAATTAACGGGTCTTAATCGCATGCAGTTAATTCCCAGTATTTTTCCAGGCCATTATCAACAGTAAAATGATAAAGAAATAAAGGCGACCTTTTTTGATATTTTAAAGAATATCAAAATCCAGTTTTGAGTCCTGAAATGAACAGACCATTCATGTTTTATGAAATGTCAATTATATTCACTGCAGACTTTATAACTACTTCAACTGATGCCAGCCGATGTCAACTCATGAAGTTCCCTACAAAAATTACATTGTTTTAGTATGCGTGCTCATCGATGCAGAAATTGAAAAGTTTTTGGTATCCCATGCAAGTTTTATCTCCCATTGATTCGGGATCAATGAGCATCAATACAACTGATGGCATGTAATCGCATCGATGTTTCGACACAGCTCCGTTTTTTATCAGCCACCTTTTCGTTTCACAACCGGTTATGATATATAAGATACATGGGCTATTTTCGAATTTCGAAGTTTTCCACTTTAGATTTTCCTTCTAGAAGAGAGGAGTCCCACGACACTAGTGCATCACAGTTTAAATTCGATGCCTGACATGATTATGACGTCATTGACTTTTATCAATGCGATACTATTTTGGGAAATCAAGAAACGGCATCACCTATGCCGAAAAAACTTTTCATGCCGCATTCTTTGAAATGCGACATTAAACATTTTTTTATAGGATTGCAATGGTAGACACACGATTGAGTCAATTATTTTAAATTTTATGGTGGTTATGTTTCCTGGCTATTTTTGTGGCAATAATCTAATAACTTTCATACTTCTATCATATAACAGCAACGAAACCGTAGTGTTACTTCTTAGGGGAAAATACGCTGCTAAGCATCGGGATTGAAAATACACTTATCGTTTTGCATCTAAAAAGGGTAACACTTTTTTTTATAGACCATAATATCACTGTCGTTTTTCTATTCGCTTTCTTTCAGAATTTTTTTTGTTGATCTGCAGTGAAAAGAATAATGCCACGTAGGTTTGGAATTTTTTTTTGACGCTGTTATTATCTATCATTTTGCATTTGATTCTAACCGCATTTTTAGGTGGCGAGATTTTTGTTGGAAACTTACACCGGAAAACACAACGTCATGATTTGGAAGAGGTATTTCGCCAATACGGTCGATTAATTCGTTGCGATATGAAATATGGTGATTAATTATTTATTTATTAATATTATATAAGGCAAAACTGTTTTCATCTTTTATTTAGGTTGGTCAAGTGCTTACGCGTTTATCGAATATGAAGTAGAACGAGATGCTGAGGTAAGTTTGTTTTTATCCTATCGTGTCATGTAAGATAATGATTGAGGATGAGAGTAAAGCACTTTTCAGTGAGTTCGTTATTAGTTAAGAATATAAATGCAATTCTTTATCCTCTTCCTTTCAACGGTTTAATGTCAATTGTGTTTTTGTCTTGAAGAATGTGGTTAGAAATTGTAACCATGGCTGAGGAGTAACTTATTCATTTAAACCAGTTGTACTTGTTCTAGCACAGTAAGACTCTCTCAACATTTGGTAACCGTAAATTAGTTAGAAAATACAATCAGTTTAGGTATGATCAAACGACACAGGCAGAAGAATGAGCCGGTTCCTATATGAGATTATATTACAATGGTAACAATAGAATCTAATAGAAAGGAGAGAATTGTGTTTAATTAAAATAAAAAAAGCCGCCTCAGCTGACATTTCTGATATATTAATACTGAACAATGTCTTCCTCAAACAATAGTCATTGCTCTATTAGTTTTTGATTGTTTATCTTTCAATCGTTATTTTTTATATTTGTAAAATGCTTTTATGTTTTGTTTTTTTCTTCTTCTGTTTTTCTCTATCACAGCGTTAGGATGATGTATGACGTGCTGTGATCATAAAACTATTAGAGGATCTATAATACCTATCCGACAAACTCGTTAGAATCATTATCATTGTGCTTGATGGAAAAATACATCATCCATTTTGTTCCTTCCTGAAACAAATCCTTATATTTAATCAGTGGCTGTTAATCATCTGTTCTATTCGTACGAGTGGTCTCACTAACATTAGAAACAAAACAAAAGCAAATCACGATACCAGCCAGTTCAAATTGCGTCCAGTATCTGATTATTAAAGCAACATTCCACTTTGTTATTATATGTGTTATATCATCGTTAGCCACACATCGGTTGTCAGTCATATCTTTTGTTTGTCAGAGTTAACATCCTCATCCTCTTAGTTTTTCATCACACAACATATACACACATTTCTTACTGTTGAGTAAGTACGACAATCTATTATATATATTTTGAATCATGATCGACAGCATGTTCGGGGGAAAAAATATATTATTCACGTGTGTGGCTTTTTGTTTCCATGTTTTTTCTCTCTCTCTTACTGACGCGTGCGTTTACTTCGTATTTCAGGATGCAATTAAAAGTGAACATGGACGCGTCTTGAATGGTATGCGTACAGTTGTTGAATGGGTTAAAAGTGGACCAAGACAGCCTGGTCAGAATGTTGTTCGAAATGATAGATATTCAGTATGTTCTATGTTTTATTTTATACATAAATATATACCTATACATGTTTTATTGTCTAGAGAAATATTTGCTATAATTGTATGGAGTCAGGACATCATAGTTGGGAGTGTCCAAAAGATACGGGTTTGCAAAAACCTCCCCCGAAACAAAGACGTTCACGTTCAGGATCAGGGCCAAGAGTGCGAAAAGAAAAACGGTACGTATTACATGTGTCAAGATAATTCGAGTATTGCATCCTTTGAGTGTGTATTTCAACTAATGAAAGACACAAATAAGATGAAAGTCAATGTAATGTGACTAAAATGCGCAAAAAGGTGAGTCAAACGACTAAAAAAAATAATAATATATCACATATATGCGGACCAGTAAACAAAGGAACAAACAGAAAACAATTTAATGTCTATAAACTACTCTAATTGAAACGTAGAGAAGAAAAAGAGAAGCGAAAAGAACGTGAATGATACGTTTTATGATTAAGGATATACAAAACTAGCAATGATCGACTATTCTTTCTTATTTAGACGTTCAGTATCAAAAAGTCGATCTCGTTCAAATGATCGTCAAGCACGTCGAAGACCAAGACGATCACAAAGTTATGATCGTACACACAACAATAATAATGGAGATAATTATGACCAACGTGGAAATAATCGTAATCAGAGAAATCAGCGTAGTCCACCGCCACCATCAAACGATCGTCGCGAGAGACAACGTGATACAACGCTCAAAAATGGACGACAAGAATCATCACGTACAACAGATAAAAATTCATCATCAAAAAGTCGACGACGACAACGTTCAGTAAGTCATGAGAATGGTTATAATTGACGATTTATCTCGTATGATGAATATATATTGAATTATCTACTGCTTGTATTCAATTATGTAAATAGTTTTTTAAAAATCCAAGACAAATTCTGACTCTTCTATTGCAGACGTTTTTTTTCGTATCGTTTTAATTATTTTTTTTGTTGTTGTTGTTTAAAATTTATAAAAACAATTTTTTCATGTTGTTTTGTTTCGAAATAGGGAAGAGTCAAATAAATATTAAGAATATTCTTGATCTATGTTCGTTGACAAGAACAAACACGAACGATTCAAATCAAATAGAGTGTTCGATACCTATGTAACAGCGTTTTCGATAGAAGTTTTGGTGGTAGTCTGCTGAGTAACTAAAGCTTTTTCTTAAGTAACTGCATGTTTTAAGCTAATTAAAGACTGACAGTCTTCAATTAGTTGAAGAAACTTACTCAGGTGCGCAAGAGCCAGTTTTTCCGCAAATAAATGAATTTCACTTACGAGGAAACGTTTTTAACCACCCTCTCGCTTTTTCAACGAAACCTAGTGGGTTATAGGTTATCAATGATGCCGATTCCGAATATGAATATGAGAGCTACTCATAGGGCTTCGAAGTCCCGGTTTTCTGTAAAACCAGTTTTTTAGAAACTCTGAAAAACAACCAAAGCTTTTCTTAATGAGCCATCCTTGTAGCCCGCATATTTCTGATTAAAATGAGATATCTCCCAGCTCTTCGCGACCTTTCTTTACAAAGTTATAGAATTTACACGAAAAGCCCTAAATTAATTTCTTATTTCTGTAGCTTTGAGTTGACAATGAATATTTAGGGCTTTTCTTGTAAATTTTATAAAAAACTTTGCAAAGAAAGGTCATGTAGAGTTGGAAGATATCCCATTTTAACCAGAAATGTGCGGGCTACAAGCATGGTTCATTAAGAAAAGCTTTGGTTGTTTTTCAGAATTTTTGAAAAACTGGTTTTCCGGAAAACCGGGTCTTCGAAGCTCTAAGCGCAGTTCTCATATTCATATTCAGAATCAGCATCATCGACAACCTATAACCCACTAGGTTTCGTTGAAAAAGCGAGGGGGCACTTAAAAACGTTCCCTTGTTAGAAGCTAGAGAAAATCACTTACTTAGATGCAGTTTCTGAACTAAAATTTCTTAAAAAATTTCTGAGTAACTTTGTTCAAACAAGGAGGTGAATTGCCACCCACTACCACCCCCTAATCGATAACGCTGCTATGTAATACAAATTTCAGCGGCCAAACGAATAATAACAAGTGCCATTTAGTATGATATTTGGGTATTTGTAAAGCATAAAATTAAGGATCAACGTTGTTAACTGGAAAAACTTTAGAAATTCTAAAAAGAAAAGCTACTGACTTTCGATTATTTTATAAAAAGTTTGTTTGTTAACGAGTTATCATCCTGATGAAAAGTCTCTATTATCAAACAAAAACAGAAAAAAAAAATGTTTTTATTTGTAGTTATAGAAGCAAAATGAATAGAAATTAAACCTTGATTAAATATTTGTTAATCTACATACATCATTCGATTCGATTATCGATGAACAAGGATTTAGTCTATCGTTTTAATTTGTTATTAGATTAAAGAAAAAAATAATTGTATAATCAAATTTTTTATTCATTTTACAGTTCAATCGTGCAAAAGTTTATAAAAGAATTATATTGAATACGTGTAAATACATTTAGTCGGGACAAAAATAAATAGAAAAATGATGATATAAAATGTTCATCTATTTATTGAACGAAAAAAATTGAAATCAGAAATATAAAAATTAGTATGATTTGTTGAAGATGTATACGATCTGATCCTCAGGGGACTAGAGAGAACGAAAGAAAATGATCTTCCTCAAAAACTCAATAATATTGTCATTTTAAAATACAAAAAACCTGGCATCCATTTTCTTTTGTTTCTTATTTTCTGACAATGTATATATAATAATAGCATGGTAAAGAAAAGTAAATTTCATTATTTTTACTAATATACTCTGCGAAAGTTATAATCGACAATATTGTTAATAAGTGATGACGCCTTATGCCATACATTTCCTTACAATATTTTCTTCTCTGATTTCTTTATCCTAAAGCTAAATTTATATTTAAATATTATAATCGATTTTTAAATGGTATAGCCTTCATTAAGCAGAAAATTGATCAGAAAAATATTTGCTATTAATTTATCAAATAATGTCTGATAATTATTGGTAAAAGAGATCGAGAAATATCGACATACGTATTCCTAAAGTTACTTTTTCTGACAAACATTAACATTCGACATAGTATACATACACTTAGAAAAATATTATAAACTTGTTTTTAATTTGTTAGAGAAAAACTTGATGACATATAAATATTATCAAAATTTTTGTGTATTAGACTGAAGTAATTAGTTTTTATTTCGTTTTATCTTTTGTTTTAAATTTTCTTTTTTGTGTGCGTGTATGTGTGTAATACTAGAAGTATTGAACAGCCAATTAGTTTGCAAAGACTATGAGATTTATTAGATTTTAAAAGTGTGTATAGTTTTGCAAATCCTTTTATAAAGGTCGTTGTATAGAGTTATGCCTGTTCTATAATAATTTTGAATATATAATGAAATAGGGCCCAATCAACATGTAATAAAAGTATGAGAAAAAGAATCTTTAAATCTACTCCTCCACGCCTACAAATACACCTATTACCTCGCCTTAATTACTTTTCTTTTTCTGTTCTATGCTTTTTCTCTCTCTCCCTTTGTCTCTCTTTCTCTTTCTTTTTCTCTCTCTCTCTCTCTAGCTCGATACATATATTCATCCATTGAACATTGAAGTTTCATTATAATATATGTCACAGAACATATTGACCGGCGCCATAGAACAAAAACATTCCATATCGTTAAAATATTCTTAAAAAAATATACATAGTTCAATGTGTAAGTATAACAATTCGATTTTGGTCTTATCGAATTATATTTTTTTCTCCTCCTCTCAACATAATGTGTAATTTGTCATAACATTACGACTTTTCAATATTTTCGAAGAAGTTCATAGTCAGTTTATCAAGTTTGTATACGATTTTTTATTCTCTTTTTTTTCGTAGAACTGATTATTTGACACGACTGCATATTCAATCGAATAGTTTACCAAAGAGCGACAGAATATATCTGATATAGGTGATTTCTAGTGCTAAGAGTCAAAACTAATTAGTGGACAAAATTGATCATAAATCTACTGGTCTATTCTCACATATTTTTTTAGTGATGAATTTCTTATCTACTATTTCTTTAACTTATAACACATCAACAAACTCATTCATCATTACGTTACAGAACAAAAGCTATGCATATTTTTATTGATCTCTATAACGGAAATATGTCTGTCTATAAAGTCGTCGTCATTCACTCAAAATTTTTTTTCGTTCTTGTTCCTGTTTCTCTAACCTCCAGCAATACACCGACATTATGTTTTATATTGTCCTGTTTTAAAGAAAGTGTTTCACATACTATCAAAAAATAAATAAATAAATAAATAATGAATAAAAGACTATTGCTAGACAAAAATGTTTTGTTTACAAATTAGAAATACCTCCTACTTGGCAGACAAACAGACATATACATGACATATTTTGTTTGAAAAAGAATAAGAAAAGGTTTTTTCTTTAGTTAATTTATTTCTTCGATGTATTTTAGTCATTTAACAGTAGAAAAAAAACGATCGTATTATGTCAGGAAGACCATCTTACAAAGAAGCACAAGAACGTTTAATGAAATGGTGTCAAAATGTAACCAAAGATTATGAGGTAAGGAAGCAAATTTTCTTATATTATCTTAAATCAGTTTCTTCCTCATATTTCGAGCTTATATATAGTGTGTGTAAGAAGTATTCGGACATTGTATGAAGCTTCTCTTGCGAGCTTATTATCTTTTAAAATAACAGATGAAAATTATCTTTTTACCATTAGATAGGACGAAGTCTGCTCTACATTTCCGTCCACTTGAAAATATTTTAACGATCTTAGATGAGCCTGTAATGAGTCTTCTTTTACACTAAGTTGACTTTTGTAACGTATTCGAACATTTTCTTTTCTCTATGGTTTTTGACATATCTCATTCGTAGCGGCGGATCTTTCAAATATACCAATCGAAAGAGCAATGCCTCAGCTTTCTAATGAAAAAGGTATAACTAAAAGAAGTGCTCTCTAAACGTCACAAAATTGAAAATAACGGATATTACCATGGAATTGATTTAAAACGCGCTCGTTCACCGTTAAACTGGATCAAAAGTTAATTCTAAATATACCGTTAGAAAATGTGAAAAACTACACAAGAAACAATTATTAGACGAAAAAATAGACTATCTTCTGCTCATTTTAATTGATTTTCTAACTGCTCTAGTCATCATCTCTGGATGACATCTATTATACTTTGCATTTTTTTGCCTTAAATCTCTTCTCTAAAATTTTTGTAACGTAACAGGTTTAAAGAAAACAAATTTCTGCACAAACTGAGCTATTTTTCGAGTTGAATACTTGAAGAGCAGCTGAGTTGCACATACTATCTTTATCTCGTTCAAAGAATTTCGTTTATTCTACGGATAATAAAAGACAAAGCCTGTTTCATTTCTTTGGGAGAAGTATGAGATAAAGATAGTATGTGCAACTCA